CACACACACACACACACACCTTAAAGGGATCCATGGTTAGTTATAATATTAGACTTTATTTAATAAATAAATAAAATAAACAAATTTAAATCTACATAACAGCATAAGCTTTTATAATTTTACTTTTTAAGGCTCTTTTTAAAGTTCACCAATAAAGCACATAATTTGAGATCATCATTTTAGATCACTTCACACACATCAAAGGCAGTGGGAGGTTTTGCCTTACTCACTTTGACACGTGACCAATTAGCAGTGGAATCGAACCGCCAACTCTTGTTCCTCTCATTAGAGGAACAACTTCCCTAACCACTCAAGTCAAAGCCGCCCCACAAGAACAAATAATTTGACTAATCATGTTTTTTGTCCAAACTCTGCCCACCTAAAAACCTCCGCCTGTATTCCAAACGCCAGCAGTCACAGTTAGGACAAACCTGGCCCAGACTAACAAACTCCACTCACAGGCATGAAACTCCCTCTGTGTACTGCAGGGACCTCTGCTTGAACCCCTGCTGTTTATGTGAAGATGCACAATAAATAAACATACTGTGTTTACATACCATACGTTTATTTCAGAATCGCAGCATCCTGCAGCAATATGGATCTTCAGTGGCCACCAGGGGCCTCCTTCACTCAAACTCACACCCGGTTTCTTCAGGATTCAGACCCCTGCACAAACCCAGCTGGTTCCTTGTCAGCAGGAAGGTACTGACATCACACACTGACTTTAATGCTCTGCTCTTGGTTTCAGTGCAGACAGAATCAAACCTCTGTGGGCTGCAATGAATTTATGTGTTAATCCAGGTGCATACTTACTGTTGCAGAGACAGAAAACATCATTTTGGTGATTTTATATGTTTTTCTGAGTGTGAAATCTCCATCAAGTGATGCTGTTTCTGACTACCAGAGCCTGGCAGTTGGGTTATTTATCATGTTACTCTCCATGTCACTTGTAGCAGTGCACGACTGAAATGTTTTTATTTCAGACCTGTACATCCATAAACATGATCAGATCCTGATGAAGTCAGATGCTGACCTGTCTGACCTACACTCACTTAGAGTCCAACAGTCCCATACACCCACCTCCTCTACCCAAGCTGGCACAATTCTTTCTGCGTGTCTTCTTGATTCATAAATTAATTGCGGTTCCTCACACGCTGCTTACAAAATTCACAAAATTTAAGTAGTCAAACCCAAGGTTCGGCACGGTGCCCTGAGGTGTCGCCAGCAGAAAGAAGGCATCAGAAAACTGAAGACGCTCCTCTGCAGGGTTTCCCCTACATGTAATTGATCATGGCGCTCTGCCACGGCTAAAAAAAGCTGCCACACCTTCAGAATGAAGTTTTTTTTTTTAATCACCGTAAAACAGGGGTTGACACAACCATTGTTTAGTTTGTCCGAGATAACACATTTTCATTTCGGGCAACCAGATCCCACCTCCCGGTTGTCCAGTGGACAACCAAGAAAAAAAGACCTAGATTTAAGTTTTCCTCAGTGAGTGTTCATCATTGTAAAAATGAACATGATAAAAAAAACTTGTTAAAGCCATGTAGGGATTAAACTGATGGTTCTTTCACCCAATAAAGAGAACCACAGTCAAAGTTTTACCCAATCAACATTTGTCGCGTCAACATTTGACTTTGATCTTCCTCTAAAATTACAAAGTTCTCTAAGTCAGCTTCAGGTGCTTGTAGTTAGTCTTAAATATCTTCTAAATTTAACCAGGTGTTTCAATGCCTTTACATTACACAACAATTTTAGTGGAGAAATTTGTAAGATTGGTGTAAAAAATAGTAAAAATAAATTGTTTTTTCTGTGCAGGGAACTTCTTGTGCTGTAATTTTTAAAAATAAATATATCAAAGCGCCTCAGTTGAAAACACTAAAATGATAGAAAAGATGTTTAAAACCTCTTTCCTCAGAAAGTCTTCAGTCCTAAGAACACTAAACTGTAACTTAAATAAGGTCGTGTACACAGAATACTCCTATTTAAAAGAAAATCTTTGACCTGTAAGCAGAAAGCTTGTGGATGTTGATTTTTGCTCTCTATTTTAAAGAGGAGGATGAGGAGGAGAAGTTCTCCTCAAGCAGCTCCTGAAACTGTCAACCTGCTGACTGAGAACATTTGTATATATTACACTTTGTATACAGAACAATATAGCCTTCTTATTACATTACATTTTATTGAGATTTTTGCGGACAACCAGATTTTGACAACCTGTTGTCCTGTCGTTGCGCCCCCCACCCCATGTAAACACCTGTAGCTCTCATGCTGCAGAGGTTAGAGACCATGAGCCTGACCTGACACCAGAGCTCACTCCTCTCTAGGCTAAGAAGTACAAAAGAGGTAGACACAGAGAAAACAAGCAGGCAAACAAAAATTATTGACCTCATTTTAATTTATCAACCTTACTTCAATTTATCGTGTGATTAATTGATTTATTATTAATCAATTTATTGCGACAAGCCTAAACATTAGTACATATATGATATCATGCATTTGAATATGGTTTGTTTCATTATCACTCCACTACAATAGACTACAGAGAACAGGTCTGTTTTTTTGTTTTCCATCAACAAAATATTTGATTTGTAATGACCTTTCCAAAGTCACTTCTCATTTAAACACTCAGTCATCTTTAAACAACCACTACCTGTATGTGAGTTCTGTTGCGTTGTGTATGTGCAGGCCTCATATATGCTACCACTATGCCATATCTAGTTTTATTTTAATTACTTTAGAACCTGGTTCTTACAGTCCAAGTGTCTAGGATTACGTTGGACACATAACATATAGAGTCCAGATCAGTGGTGGGCAGTCCTGTTCCTCGGGGGCTGCAGCCCTGCATGTTTTACTTGTTTCTCTACTCCAAACTCAGCTGATTCAGTCATATCTCTTCCAAGTTCTGCAGAAGCCTGAGAATCACCCTTTCATTTAAATCCGGTGTGTGGGGGCAGAGAATCAAGTAAAACATGCAGGGCTGCGGCCCTCGAGGACAACCCCTGGTCCAGATGTTTGGAACATTTAGGCCATATGATTAAAGGGATACCCGATTAGTTGTAACATTAGACTTTATATGATAAACATATATTTTAACTGTAAAATAAAGACTGTAAAAATACTGTAGGATTTTCAGTTTTTATAATTTTTAAACTAAAAGTTTAAAAATATATTAAACGGACGGGGCCATTTTATTTACACACAAAGCATTCTGGGTAAATGATGACGTGGATAGGTCCTCGGTGTGAGTGAGCTATATCCACCCTGAAGGTTAATCTTGGACAATATCTGATGATCGACTCTTTTAAATGAAACCAGAGAGCGTTGACAGAGAGGAGAAGGTAGAAATGACTCAGCCTGTAACTGAAAATATGGATGGAGGACAACAGAGCTGCTTCATGGAAGAAGAACCTCAGCTTAGCCTGTTAGCTTTAGCGTTAGCACTGACGCTATATTGCCTTATATGTATTAGCTCAGTGCTAGTGCGACAAACAAGCTAAACTGAGGTCCTCCATCCATATTTTCAGTTACAGGCTGAGTCGTTTCTACCTTCTCCTCTCTGTCAACACTCTCTGGTTTCATTTAAAAGAGTCGATCATCAGATATTGTCCAAGATTAACCTTCAGGGTGGATATAGCTCTCTCACACCGAGGACCTATCCACATCATCATTTACCCAGAATGCTTTGTGTGTAAATAAAATGGCTCCGTCCGTATTAAAATATATTTTAAAAAATTTACTAAACAGCCTACAGTATTTTTACAGTCTTTATTTTACAGTAAAAATATATGTTTATTAAATAAAGTTTAATGTTGCAACTAATCATGGATCCCTTTAACAAGAAGCCAGTCTGAACAAAGAGAGCTGGGAGCTCTGGCCAAAACAAACAAAAGGAAGGAGTGTCCATGAACCAGCTAGCAGTTGACTGTCCGAATCAGGAACCACTCCTCTTGCCCTGTGGTGCAGGCTCCTTTTTAAACCTGCATCAGCCAATTAACTGTACAGAGGAATACAGGTTAATTGAGAAGCCATTCATGACACCTGGACATGTCACACTGGTCAAGACAAGAATACTTTTGTTTGGTATTGATACATAAACCGTAGAAGTGTGTGTAATGAAGCTCATGTTGTCTCTTTCAGCACCGGGACAACTGTCAGGCTGCCCAGTCCCTGTTCAGGAGCTTCTGTCTTACACCAGTCAGTCTGCAGATTCAGCTGCTGCCCTATTTAGCTAAGCTTTCTAATCCACTGAGGAACCAAGGTAACACTCACACAGAAACAGTAATATAAGAAACTTACCAGACTACATCTGTTTACTGTATGTTACATTATATGAGAGCTTCCAACAAAGCAAAATATTCAATTGTTTAGCCTTAAAATAAAACTGTTTTTTTTTTTACATTTCTTCTTCTTTTTATGCTTGAGAACTTGTCTTACAATTTTTTTTGTGTTCTCCTAATTAAATAATCTAAAGGACACATCAGCAAAATCCACTTTTTAGCTGTTAAAAACATTTTGTTGTGGACTTGGAGTCTCTAGGAGGTAGAAATTTGAATTTCGCCTCTCCAGGGGTCTGATTTATAAAACTGGCGTACGCACAATTTGAGCCCAGAAACTTGCGTACGCCACTTTTTACGCCAAGGTTGTGGTTTATAAAATCCAAACGACGTGAAAATGTGCGGTGCCTCACAACTCTGACCGATGCGTACGCTCATTTTGGAGACGTGAAACTGCGACACAGATGGTGAAGTGAGGAATTAGAGCCACACTGTGTAATGATCACTGTCAGATATTTAATTTACCTTCAGAATCAGACTTAGATATTTATTCAACTTTATCATCAGCTTTCTTAACAGTAATATTTATACTTCTGCTGCTGAGCCATGAGGACCTTTGAAATAATAATAAAAAAACTTAAATCTTAAAAGAAATGTTCGCACAACTCCATTCATCTCCTTCCTCCTCAGACGACCCTGACCCACACAGACCCCTCCGTGACAAGGGACATTTCAACAACACGACAGCAAAAGTCATGCTTTGGGTACTCGCCAGTGTGTATGTTATAAAACTTCACTTTTTAAAATCCGTATTTGTCACGGGGGGTGGGGGGGGAGGTGCGCGTGTGGGGACGAGTAGTGAAATTATTTCTAAGTTTATCTGACTTATGTAATTTTATTTATTGTTTTTATCGTCCTGCAGGCTCTGAGAGAAAATTAATTTGAAGCTGAGATTTTGATAAAAATCATTAGATTACTCTAAACATCAGTAAACCTGCAAAATGAGTGAAAATCTGTGTCAATTACAGTCATTCTGTTCACGTGAGCAGCTGTCAGTCAGCACCTGTCAACCTCCAGACACACGACGGAGCACGAGTCTTAGTCAATGCTTTTGTTGGCATTGATCAGCTGACTGATTTAAATACATCTTAACATTCATGAGGTACTTTACATTGACTGTTTATGGTTGAATGTGGGCGTGTAGAGGGTAGAACCTGAGGCTGGACCTCGAGCGCAAACTCTGAGGTGCGACTGTGATTTATAAAGGAAAGATGCACAGAAACATGCGTACGCACGGTTTTATAAATCTGAATTTTTTTTTTTGGCGTACGCCATTTCCGCMTTTTGGCCGTACGTTCACTTTTAGTATGGTTTCTATGCAATCCTTTATAAATGAGACCCCTGGTGTTTAGGTTAGATTTTTCAACCCATCCAGTTTTCCTTTAGCCTGGTTAAAACCAAACCCTTTTCTTTTGCTTTGCTTCATATGAGGGTCTGGACTCGCAGCTACAGAGAAGCGATTCTTGCTGGTGGTGTAGCCTCTGCTGACGTGTGTGTGTGTGTTGTCGCTGTGAAGGAGGCTAAGCTAAGAAGCTAACCAGAAATCGCGTGTGCTGTAAACAACCCTACTGAGAGGAGAGAAGTACCGAGCCAAATGAGACGGCTGCAAATGAGAGCTGCTGCTTTGTCTGACAAATTTAATTTAATTTGGAAGCCTTATCAACACAGACTGGCTTCATTCACTTCCTCCACTGCCGTATGCTAAAATAACTAGCAGACACTGTACAGAAAATTGACGTTGTTCAAAACTCCTCCTTCTGTTTGCTGATTGGCCCAGGTAAAATAAACTACAAGCAGACACTGCGCAGAAAATTGATGTTCTGTTCTCTGATTGGCTCGGATGAAAATTCTCCTGAAGAAATCCTTCTCTATGGGATACGTCCCAGACGGAGCAGTGAAGGGAAACTAGAACTGAGCGGAGCTGCGTAAGAAGGCAAGGGCCAGGCTAGTTTTCTTTGTTTTCCAAGACATTTTCTGAACTATTGTGGTTAAGTATTGCAACAGAATTGCCAAATGAGGTCTGAACTTACTAACTATAATTTCCTCATCTTACTTCTCCTCTGGTTCTGGATCAGACTCTGGTTCTGGGTCACTCTGGTTCTGAATCAGGCTCTGGGTCAGACTCTGGTTCTGGGTCAGACTCTGGCTCCAACATGTAAGGCTGGATGAACAAGTCTTCCTTTGTTTACATCTTTTAATTAAATTGTAAATAAAACATTTCTGCAAGCTACAAAAGGTAACTCCCTCTCTCAAACTGGAGTGGACCGGTCTGGAAGCCAGAGGGGGCGGGGCTTGAGCGTCCTCATCAAAACCAGCTGTTTTGAGACTTACCTCAGAAAAGTGGTGAAAGAGGGGCTGGTTAAGTTAGAAGTGATTCAATCGAAAGCATTGTAGTTCCACTTTATAATGACCCAACTGAAGGATTTAAATGTGAAAAAGAAGGATTTAATCATCATGTCTACTTTAACATAGACTTCTGATCAAAATTTTAAGACCAGTTGAAAAATGGCAAGAATTCACATTCACTTATGATCCAACATTCACTGTTGGATCATAAGAAGGTTCAATGTAGAGCTTTCTAAATACAAAAAGAAGGAATGTGGGACAAAAAACATCTAAGCATTTTATTGCAAACAATTATTAAACTAAAATGAGCTGTTCTGGCTTCAATAAGTATGTGGATGAAAGAAATGTCTTCTTTTCCAAAAGCTAACCAATACTGTAAAAGGGAAAGCAGAGGAATTTGAAAATGTACAGTGGTTTGCAAAAGTATTCATACCCCTTGAACTTTTCCATATTTTGTCACATTACAACCACAAACATAAATATATTTCACTGGAA